TAATCAATATCAATAAAAATTTTTTGGTTGAATTCTCAGGTGGTTGTCGAGATATCTTCGCTCAAAGTTTTAAAAAAACTTTGGCGCGGCTTCTATTTTAATAGTCGTTTTGAATTTTTTTTACTTATTTTAAGCGAAGATATCTCGACAACCACTTTCGATAAATTTTTTTTTTATTTGAATTCTACAGATATATAGAATTCAAACAAAATTTTTTTATCGATTTTGATATGATTGGTGAGATATCTTCGCTCAAAGTTCAAAAATCTTTTAATTTCAAGAGGTTTAAATATCAAATTTGGGGGTACGAATATCAATTATTAAAATTAAAAGAAAATATTTACTTCGATAAAGTATTTCATTTTAAAAAAATATTTCGTAAAGTATTTCATTTTTATTAAAATTATGGTTAGGTTTAGACCTAGGGTTAGAGTATAATTTAGACTGATTTTGTTAGTGCTAGTAAACAAAATGACGTCATGTAGATCACTGGGTTATGTCCCCGAGTTTCGATATGACTTTTGAGTTTCGAGAGGCATCATTAGTTCCGATATGAGTTTCGAGTTCCGATACGAGTTTCGAGTTCCTATATGAGTTTCGAGTTTCGATACAAGTTTCGAGTTTCGATACAAGTTTCGAGTTTCGATATGAGTTTCGAGTTTCGAGAAGTTTCGAAAATAAAATTTTGTCGAAACTAGTTTCGAGACAGTTTCGATATCGATGCTCTCGAAAGTTTCGAGTTTCGAGAGGCATCATTAGTTTGGTAGATAGCTTTGATATTTGTGCATTTATACATATTACAAATAACGATAAGTAAATAAATAGCTATAAGATTTAATTTTCTAAAAGTATGTATGTTTATATATATATATATATATATGCATATAACTATGAAATTCCAGCTAACAATTTTTAAAATTCATAATACTTACAGTAAATTGCGGCTTTTAATTTAGATTATGGTATACATTATATGTTTGGTTTCGGCGACTATATTTCTACTAAAAATTGATAATGAAATTTTTTCGGCAAGCTGCAATTAGTTCTACCATGTATAACTTTTAAATATTTAAATTGCGGCTTTTGGTTTTTGAGTTGCGGCATAAATTTTACGGCTTGCGGCTCTATTTCTACTAAAAATCTATACCGAAATATTTTCGGCAAAGCCGCAATTAGCTTCTACGGCATGTGTATATTCGACGATTGTAAATTTGTTAAATTTTGCTATTCCTAAAAGCTAATTCTCAAATCAGTAAGGTAATATCTGCTCAAAAGTGTAGGATAAAAACATAAATTTATTAGTGAAACAGTTTTATAAAATTATGTTTATCAATATGAATAAAAGAAGTGATAATTCATTGAAATTAAAAACTAACTTGAGTGAGTTCAATACTTTAAAATAAATACAAAGTACTGTATAAGTTGTTCATACGTAGAAGTATTCTCTTGATGGTAGGAGCATTTTTGAAAAAAGGGTTTACTGTATATAATTGTATAGTGATTTAGAACTTACCGAATATGTAAAATTTGTATGATAACTAAAATTGGTTATGACTAGTGATGGGACCTCCTATATTATTAATAATTAATAATTAATTATTAACAATTGGTCAGGTTATTAATTAAAAACTACTTAATAATATGTTGATGACGCAATAAATTTTTAAGAGAAAATGAGCTAACCATTTGCCGCACACAACTAATCAATATATTCGAATAATAAAATTAAGAAAGTTTCATTAATTAAAAAAAAAATTTTTATGCAAAATTTCTCTTTATTTATTCAAAAATTTATATATACAATTGATTCAAGGATTTTTTAACAATTTTTGAATCAAAAACATCAACAAGTTTTGGAATCGTTTCTTCACAATTTGTATCGAATACATGAATATCATCTATTAAAGTTTCGGATATTTGGTTTAAATTAACCATAAATTCATCTACACTACGATCATTATCATCATCTGAAATACTATCCTCCATTTTATCATTACTTGATTTTTCAGTTTTTTTTTTTGAGGTTTGATTCATATACCAAGAGATCTGTGCCATTTTTGCAGCCCGGGGTGGAGACAACCGATTACGACGTTCTGTATGTATATTACCTAATAAGGACCAAACCCGTTCAGAGGTTGCAGAATTAGGTGGGATTGATAAAAGGCGACATGCAAATTCACTCAAATTTGGAGCTACATAATGCATGGTACGCCAATATCGTAATGGTAATCTTGTAAAGCTTGGATTTTTGACTGACAATGCAGAAAATGGACCTTCCTGATTTGAATAATTTAACCATTCGTCAATAAATTTATTCTGATCATAATTAGGATAAAATATACAAAATAACCCATATGCAGTTTCCTGAATATATAAGTGCCAAGTTGGATTTAATCCTTCTCCATGGTGATATGGGTGTAGAAACCATGTAATTAAGTAAATAGGATTAAATATTTTTTCCCAACGATTATCAATTTCCATAATTAAAAAATCTTGAAAATCATCGTCATTAATAAGTGAGCTTTTGTTAATAGTTTCACGGAGCCATGCCCATGATGCAGCGACTTGACCTAATGTAGCATTTTCAGTTTCTAGAATTTTTATGATATAATCATATGGTTTTAATAACTCATAAAATAATTCTAGTTTTGTCCAAAATTCATTATCATTAATAGTATCGATTATAATACTATTTTCTTGTATGCGCGAAATTAGATAAGACGAATGCATAAGTGCAATAACCTAAAAAATTATATAAAAATAAATATACAGTACATATTTAGTTTAAATATACAATCCGTATAGAAAATTATTTTAAATTACCTTTAAACTTGTTTGAATTTGCAATATTGTTTCAGATGCCTTTGTAAATGTCGCCCAACGTGTAATACACGGATATTGAGGTTTTAAAGTTGTATTACCAACTAACTCTCTTAATTTAGATAGTGCAAGATTGGAATTTCGAAAATGATTAATAATTATCAACATTTTTTTAATAACTGGTTTAAAAAATGATGATTCAACTATTTTTTTGACCAGTAAATTGGTTTGATGCGCCATGCACAGAATTGTTAAAACTTTATTGCCAATTTCAGGATCCTAATAAATATAAATAAAATATATATTAATTTTTATATTTTTTTAACTATAATTTACTTTAATATTTTACCTCACGTATAAGACGTTGTGCTTTTTTGAAATCAGGTCCACTATCTGAAATAAATGCAATCCATTTATCTCCAAGGCTTATTCCGATTTCTTTATATATTGCAAATATATAATCTCCAGTATGACGTTGATTAGAACAATTTTCTATTTTCAAAATTTGACTTTCATGCTTTTCATTTGTTACGATAAAATTGAGCATACTATTTTTTGATACATTAGTCCACCCATCGCCAGAAAGTGTCAAAAATTTTGAATCAGATATAAATTGTTGAACACCATGTTGCACATTCTCATATACATTATCTAAAATATCAGTACTAATCCATTTGCGAGATGGAAGCTGATATCCGGGTTTTAACATATTGAACAACTTAATTACTTCAGGGTCTTCTACGAATGATAATGGTATATTAGATGAAATAATTGCTCTAAGCAATTGACGATTAATAGATGTTTTATCTCTAATAGACAAAACTGAAATAGGTAAGGATGAAATAGATAAATCCGAAGTAGACAAATCTGAGGTAAATGTAGGCAAATCCGAATTAGACAAATCCGAATTAGGTGAATCTAAAGTATTCAAAACAGTTTCAACTTCTATTTCATCATTCTGAATTGAATCTTTTTTTTTTGAGCCTTTAGTTTCAGAGGCTTTTAAAATATTTCTAATGTTATCACATTCATGTTGTTCGATGTTTTTGCATTTTTCTAGTAAATGTTTAGTCATTTTCGAAGGTTCTCCAGGGCAGCTTTCATGACAAAAGTTGCACCGCGCCAAATAATGTGAACTATTAATCTTTTCGCCCTCATTGAACCACTGCCAGATCGGTTTTTTCTTCCTTCCAGTTTTACGTTGAGATGACATTTAATAAAAGTCAATCAAAAATGTTTTGACGAACAAACTTTAGACGATTATTGAACGACAATTATAATTAGTATTTTTAATAAATTAAACTTTTTAATTTATTACATATTTAATTTATTACGTATTTAATTTATTACATATTTAATTTATCGTATTACTAATATTGATTGACTTATTAACAATTAATAATATTAATAACGGGTTATTAATTTTTTTACTATTAACTAAAAACTCAGAAGTCCCATCACTAGATATGACCTCGTTTTTTATAATTTATTAAAAAAAAGCCATAATTTATGATATTTTAAATTCTGTTGTAAATACATAAATATTTATAATTTATTTCACCAATTATACTGTAACTTACTAAATTCTATTTTTTTTTAAACCGTAGAAATATTAAGTCAATTTTGGTGTGGAATGTAGGGATGGGCAAAGTAATTTATTAAGTAATAATTACTTAATTGATCTTAAGTAATATCGATATTGTTAATGTTATAAATTCTTACTTATTATTATCACATGAGATTAAACAAATATGTAAATTTTTGTCGCTAAAAATAGAATTATCGTAGAATGACTTATTATTACTCAATGTTTAAAAAATCAGATAATGTTATGTAATCAGTATCACACTGGAAATTAGAAATCTAAAGAAAAATACCAATATATGATTGGTTAAAAAATTAATAAAATATTTTTTAGCTAATCATAGATTGACATTTTTTTAGATTCCTTTATTTTGGAACTTGTTTCATTTTTATAATAACAAATATTTTATCTAATTACTAGTTAGGCTTTTTATTCAAATTATTATATTCTTTAATTTTCATTCTAAAATCTCATCATTTCCTCTATCCAACAAATAAGTTTTATTATTATTATTATTATTATTATTATTATTATTTAATCATTTTACTTACCATTTATTTTTATTTATTATTATTATCTACCTCATAATAACTATTTAATTTTTTACTCAATTTGGTGCTATCAAAAGCTAAATCTACTAAAAACTAACTAACTAAAAACAATACTCACAACAGATACATAATACAAACATAGAAGTAAAATATGATACAGCAAGGTAAAAACTTGTTTTAGGAACATTGTGTAAAAGAATCTTATTACTTTTATTAATGAATAACTTTTTTTATTAATCTTATTTTATTTTAGAGAAACAAATTCGAACTAGTATTTACAAGATCTTTTCTTATTTTTTAACTATCAAAACTACTTTTTGTACAACAATTTATTATCTTATTATTATCTACAGCTTAAAAAATTAATATTTACTATATTTTAGCTGATCTGCATACTACCCAAATTTGTAAACATTCAATTAATTTTATATAATCAATATTATTAACAGTAAAACAGTTATATAAAACTTCTAGTAAACTATTGTTAGAGGCAAAATCAATATGCTTAAGAAAGAAAGAACCTGTGCTTCAAAGTAACCTGTGAAGCCCAAGAACTAATTCAAAGATCTACATACCAAATGGACTTGAATCACATATGAATATCCTGCAGAACTACTAATAAGCAATTGCACAGTTATCTATTATTAGATAATTACATAACCTAATTGTCAAAGATGCAGCTTAGAAATAACAATGGATTAAATTTACTATATTAGAATAAGTTTTAGGTTTTAAAGAGTTGTTCTATAAAATAACGAAGTGAAATCTTTGTTATAATTCTTTTTTTTTTTGCTTCTTTTCTGTATGTCTAACTAAATATATAAAAAGAGAGTAAATCTTATAAGAAATCGTTATGTCATATATTAATTAGATAATAATAAGAGTTTATAATAAATAAAATAAATAAACTCTTACTTTTGTATAATGTTATACTACTGCCTTGACCGTACCAAATTGAATACTGCCTCTCCTTTAAGTAGTATCACACTATATTTTAAATTTTAAAGCAATGCTATCATACTATTTCTTTTGAGCAGAGGTAATGCTATTAATCTTAGATATTATGTAATAATCTATTATAAAACTTTATCAGAATATTGTCTTTAAATTTTCTAGTCAAAAAATATTTTTGGAAAAATCTATTTGATACTTAGGGCAAATTTGCCTATATATATATATTAATCGTAATACTGCATATATTGGTTATAACATTGCATATTTAACTAAATAAATATATTATATATTCTAGTTAGCTCATATAGAATCTACATACATACTATCATATATTAATTTCCTTTTATCTAATTATTTATTTAGTGAACTGCTTAAACATAAAAATTTAATTATATACAGTTAACCTTGTATCTACGTTAATATTATATATATATTAAAACTAATTCACTTTGGATCAGATACTATCTCTACTGTACCTTATATTTAAAAAATTTTTACTTTAAGAACTACTAGTTTATTATAGTGTTACTACATATTTATATTCTTTAAAACCTTTAGAAAAGTATTTATTGGTTTTTGTATTGCAACTGTGAAATACTTTATCAAAAGTATATATTAACAGTTAAAAGTATATATTTTTTATAATATACAGTAAGTTGAGTTTATAGAATTACTAACATATAAGAAATCACAACTAATTCTTTATTTTTAAAGAAAGTGGTCTTCATTTATCTATATATATTCATTTTGTTATAGATAAGATTATAAATACTATTGATAATAATAGTAAAACTATACTTAATACAGACTTTTTAAATAATAAACTTTTGAATAATGAATCTTACAAATCTGATATAGAGACAGTGGAAACTGATATTGAATATAATGATAAAAGCAATGCTAAAAGTGGTGGCTGAAGTTTAGATGAAGATATTTCATTAATAGAATCTTCACAATTATATACTAGGATAATATTTTCTTCATGAACTGTTCTTAATAGATTAATAAAAGCCTTTGCATATCATAATAGTTTAGTATTCAAAAATATTATTCTGAAAAATTAAATAGAAAATGTGTTAGACAAATATATTTATGCTGATATTTCTCTGTATATAAGCTTATAAAAAACAAAAATTTAGAAAAGCAAAGAAATAAAAATTCTGCTCAAGTTAATTGTCCTTGGAAAATTCATATTTGATATCAAAATACAGTTATAATTTAAAGGTTTTCTCATTTGATAGTAATCATAAAAATCATACTTTAAATTCAGTAAATCAACAATTTGCACCTCAATATCGATAATTAACTCAGACACTTCTTAAAAACATTAAATTTTATATTCAAAAAGGTTATTTAGGAGCAAACGACTAATATCATCTATTAAAAGCTTCATATCCTTATCATACTTTATACAAAAAAGACCTTTATAATACAATATAACAATTTCATAATGAGAATAACCCAAACCTTAATGATGCAGCAAGATTACTTGAATATTTGTTGAATCAAAGGTTTAATGATAATAATTTATATGTAGAATATAAGTTTGATCAAAGAACTAATACATTAACAAACCTATTTTGAATGATGCTACATCAACTTGCTCTTTAGAATTGTTATCATGATATAATTATTCATGATAATACTGCCAAAACTAATCATTATGAAAAATCATTATCATTATTTATTTGTATTGAC